ACATTTTACCTGTCTTCCACTCTACTGTGTTAGAGTGCTGGAGCGGGGGTCAGGGTGGTACAGATAATATTGAGGATTGACTTTGCATGCTGGGCAGCAGTGCTACACTGGGCTATGCTTCCTGCCCATTTTATTTGGAGATAGGATCCATGGATAGTTTCTTAGAATTCCCCAACCAACATCTGGACACATGTGGTAGTGACACCTGGTTAGCCAAGCATGGGGTACTGCTACCAGCAGGCTTACTTTTCTTGCGACATTTTGCCAAGTGGGAAGTAGCTGGTTGATAGTGAACCACGTGTTAGGATGACTTGTGCCACCTGTCACTGCCATGCCTGTGTTCGGAATCACCTCAATGAGACAGTCACTTAAATGTATAGAAATTGATTTTGTAATTTTCATCCACACTCTTTTAGAGTTCATTACCATTTTGTCTAGATGTGGGGTTGTCACTCTTTGTATTTCGTGGTCAGCTATTCAGAATAACTGAACAATTAAGAGAGTTTCTTTATGTATGCAAAAGGCAGATTGAGGACTAAAAAAGACGTATCCACAAGCAACAAGGATTTTATACTAGAATTTGACCATTTGAGATTTTTCTTCCAGTCTGATTTCTAAGCATCAGAATTGAATTTGGATGGGCCTTTTCCTTAGATCTTACTAGTGACAGCTCTTATCTGAGACCTCTGGCAGCTGCTGTCCGGGGCTGGAGAGCACGCTGCTACACTCATTGAGATGTTTTGGTGTGACCAGTACTTGTGCTGTGGGTATGATTTTCTGTAGCTGTGGGCTTCTGGGGGAGCCCAGGCTCGGGGTGGCTGCTTGCACCAAGAGGATCTACCTACTCTCTTCAGCTGAGGGGATTCTATGGAGCTGTTAGGTAGAGGGTCACCTGGGCCCCTGCACTTGGCTTTTCAGCTGTCTTCAGGTCCTTGAGCAGGACAGGGTTTTCATAGGCCGATCAGGGATGGCTTGGGAGACTTCTCAGACTGGTTTTCTACCTGGGAAATACATCTTCTATTCATCTTGGTCAGTTGGTAATGGTTTGGTTTAAATGTGATTAAGAATAATGCCTTGATTTGCCTAAGTCTTATAATTAAAAATAAAGACTAGATTTAAACATAAAGGAAGTAGGTAGGATTCAGCTGACTGAAATGTAGACACATGGTCTGGCTTGGGCAAGATGAAAAGGACAAGGGAAAAGATAAGGAAGTAAAGCTCCCAGAAGTAGGAAAGGCAAATGTCATTGCTCTGTAAAGTTTTCACTAAACCCTGAAACTCTTCCAAGTGGGAATTGGGCTGTTTCCTAAGTGGGTGTTAAAGATTTTGTTGTTAGGTAAGTACTATATTTGAGTGTCATTGTGCATTTTCTGTTTCTATTACAGAGTACCCAGATTGGGTAAATAATAAAGAAATTTGTCCTAGTTCTAAGGGCAGAGAATTCTGAGATTGTGTCACCAACATCTGTTGAGGGCCTTTAAGCTATGTCCTAACATGGCAGCAGGGTAGTGAGTACTCTAGAGACACAAAAGAATCCTTGCGACAGGGAGAGAAGTCAGCTGAATTCGTCCTCTCATCAGGAACCCATTTTCTTAGCAGTGACCTTGATCCATTCACAGTCTCCCCTTAAGGGCCCGCCTACCAGCAACTAGCACTGTACAGTGGCAGTTCAGTTTCAGCGTGAATTTCCGGGCGGACTTTTACACCACAACAAATGCCTTTGGTTGCGGCTTCACAGCTGGTGTGGATGCAGTAGTGGGTGCTAGACCTTCACCCTTAGCTGTGCTTGAGATGGATGGCGTTATGTTCTGTTATTCTTTTCTGTCCCTGCACCCTTCCTCAGGAGGAAACAGGCGCACGACTGTGAAGCAGCTAAGGGGACTGGAAGCTCAGTAAGTTTGTCCTTGGGACGCCTGCTCTTCCTCATGTTTTTGCTGGATACCGAGTGCTTCCCTGCACTGGTGCTTCCCTGGGGCTGTGTGCAACTAGCACTGAGCCTGACTCTTCTCTCCCCTCCCCAGTCGCCCCCAGTCTTGGGAAAGGTGAGTGTTGGAGGCGGTTGTGTATGTGCTGCTGCCCTGCCAACCTTCCTTTCTGCAGGAGGAGGAGGAGGCCCCAAGGCAAGGAGGTGGGGTGGGGTGGGGTGGGGCGGGGCAGGCCTGGCCTGGCCTTCTAGTCTTGTTCTGCAGAAACCTGTCTACCCAGAAATTTCTCGAGATCCTTGGCATAGTGGCATCTTTCTTGCTAAGCAGATCTTCTTTCTCAGAGAACAATCTGGCAGCATTTGAAGTAGGTCATCTTTGGCGTTTTCTTCTGGACATGGTGACACCGTATGGTAATGAGCTTAGGCAAGCATTGCCAGCACACAGGGCCACTCCCGTGTGGGAGTCACAGTCTTAGCAGATGTCTCCCTTCTTGCCAGGGGCAGTTCAGCCTGTTCTACAGCTGGATACTGAGGATACGTGGGTCACTGTGTACAGATGGCCAGCTCCTGGAAAGGCTTTGGGGAAGACAGTAAAAGTCAAAACAGCTGCTTCTCTGTGATGCCAAGCCAGGTAAAGGAACCAGGCAGATTGTTATAATCCAGCCCTCCCTGCGAGGTGGAAGACTCCTGCCTGCCCTTCCCAGCTCCTGTCTCCAAGGAGTGGGCACATTCTTTCCTGCAGCCTTCTCTCTTGCATACTCTTACCTTTTGGGTCAGGGATCATCCAAAAACTTGGTCACCTGAAACAACTGTGATTTAGTTTGTATCACCTTGGGGTCCCTGGCCTCTCTGGGGCCCACTCCTGTGGCTGTGGGCTGCTGGAGAGTGCTTGACTGGATCTTGGTCTTGGTGGAGACAGCAGATAGCTGGGCCGGGACAGGTCTGTCTGGTGATGGAGGTGCTCCACAAGGGTTTCAGTGAAGGCTTAACCTTGGCAGTGCTACATCTCCATGGGAAACAAGGCTGCCAGGCTCCTGGGTGGGATGCAGGCTCCGTGTTTTCTGGGGGCAGCAGCGTTCCATGGGGATGTGGACACGGGGTGAATAATGGTGAAGATCTGTCGGCCTGCCTTCTGGCCCAGGGCTCCTATCCCTCTCCTGCCATCCTCCTGCCCCAGCACATGGCAGGCTACACCAGGGCTGGATGTGGGTGTGGCTGCCAGCTCTCCAACTTCTCTGCATGCGTGGAACTGTGAACTAAAAAGCTGTCATCTCAGCAGTCAGTGGTAGGGCAGGAAGAGATTCTGGGACGGAATGAGACGTGTGGGAAGTGGTCTCTAGCCATCCTGCCTTGGAGTCGGGATGGGCGGCTGGGGCAGCACTGGTGTGTAGTGTGGTGTTTAAACGAGCTGTCTTTTGTATGGTGGTTTGGTCTTTCTCTTGAGCCTGTGTGTTGCTGCTCTGCTGGCCCTCGGGGCTCTGCATTTTGCTGACGGCCTAGGATGACCTCACGTACACTCTGGGCCCTCTGCATGCTCCAGGAAGTGACTGCTGGGTCTTTTGCTGCTGGTACTCAGGAGGAGTGCCAAAGTCACATTCATGGGGCATGGACGTGGAGAGGCAGGCCCAGTTATTTTTGTAACATGCTGTCCTCTTCAGCATCGGAAGGTTTGCGTAAATGGCCCATTCAGTACAGTCACCTTGGCTGCACCGTTGTGCTCTGCGCAGTTCTGAGCTGAGGTGCAGGGATGCCATGCTGTCACTGGGGTATGCACTGATTCTCTGCCCTACCCCAAGAGGCAGGGGCAGGCAGCCTGCGGTCCCGTGCGCCTTCCAGGTGATTCCAGTACTGCTGAGAGGTGAGACTCTCGCATGGGAATGAAAGCCATGGCCACTTCTCTTCTGGCTAAAGACACCAGGCCCTTATCACCCTTCTTCACTCTTGTCAGTAAGAGATGCTGTCCCCAGCCCCCTTCAGAATGTCCTCTGAGTTAGGCTTTTCTTCCTGATGTCTCCCCAGGATCCTGTTTGTCCTTGCTTAGCACTCTAGGACACTTAAGTGACCACCTCAGTTTCACACCACGCCTGGTGTCCAGGCACATGGATGGGGAGGCAAAACACATGGTCCCCCAATTCCCTCAACTTACTGTCCATAAAGGCGGCAGTGTGAGGCTGAGGAGTGCTGTGGGGCAAGGGAAGTGGCAGGGTTTTTTAGTCCATTTAGTTTGAGCTGTCCTGGTAGAAAGGATGGTACCGTGCATGCACATCATGACTCCTGGAGGTCCTTTTCCAGCGGCAGGGCTTGAGTCTGTGTTGTGAGCATTTCGTATGCAGAAATTTAATGCAGTGACCCTAAAGGTGACTGTTGTTGTGTGCATGTCCTAGGTGATTCTGGAGAGGTGGGTTGGAGAACCAGTGTTCTCCCACCCAAGTCTGGAACTGCCTGATGTTCAGGGAGAAAGGTAGAGACAGAACAGCGTGCCTAACTTGGAACCATGGATGTCTCCCTAGCTAGTCTGTGTGTGGAGGTTCTTCTGGAGCTGGGGGTGCTGGGAGAACCAAGAGCAGAACTGGTGTGGTTGCCCAGGGCTGGAAAATTACAAGAGGAGGGCCTGCATGGTGAGGTGCCCTCGCAGGACACTGCATCCTGCATGGCTGGTGACCAGAGTCAGCAGGCTCCAGACTGCGGTGGAGGTGACTGTCCGGGAACTTTAGAGGAAGGAGTGGAGGAGGAGGGGGGAGTGGGTGAAACTTGAGCATGCATCCCGGGCCAAGAGCCAGGACAGAAGGGTAGACCGAGGAGCAACTGGGAAGAGGGCTGCTGCTGGTTGTATTCAGGAGGAGAGAAGCATGGATTCCAGAGCCTCGCTCCTGGGCTTGGCCTTGAAGAAAAGGAGGGCCACCCCACCTCATTCTGCAGGGAAGGAGGTAAGGGGAAGGATAGGAAGATGGAAGTTTGGAGCCGCTGGAACTCACTTTTTTTTTTCCTTTGGGCTTAAGAAAAGAAGTGAACCCCTGCCCCCGAAACCCTTCAGATTTAGCTGCTGTGTTGTGCAAGAGGGTAGAGATGCGGGATGATGGCAGAGCGCAGGGTGAGCAGGGTGCAGGGCCTTGCTTGGGCCCACTGACACTGTGCGTGGACCTCCTTGAACATGACCTTGTCAGGGTGCTCACCTGGAGTACTTGGCACATTTTAAAATAACTGCAAGAGAATATTTTCGGGCTGTCCACCAGCTTTCCAAACTATTTCTACTGAGGAAATTAGCTTGGACTGTGAGCCTGGACTCTCTTGGCAAATGCAGGATCTTAGACTGGTTTTGAAGCCTGGAATCTCCATTCAGACTTCCTGAGCTTGTTTTATGTCTAAAAGACATTGGAGACAGTTTCATGACCTAAACTGTTGGCCACTGGTCAGGAAAAAAGTTTAAGGACATCTCCGTCAGTCCCCCAGTTGAAATGTGGTGGAGTGTGCAGTGCTTTAAGTAGAAATGAAGGTGAGTGGAGTTTCATTATCAGCACCGTGGCTGTGTGTGTGGCTGAGCAGGTCGTGGGTGCAGGGGTCGCAGTGGTGTGATGCTGGTAGTTAGGCTGTGGCTCAGGGCTCAGTGCCCAGAGCTCCAAGTGACATGGTCTCCCATGTGCCCCTTTTGTGTGGTAAGTTCAGGATACATTTCTCATGGTGCGCATGACCCCCAGCATGGGGGGCATTGCTCAGTTGTTTGGTTTTGCTAGGATGGTCAGGAGATTTGTGAACTTACTTTTCTCGGTGAAATCTCAGCAGGGCCCTTTTGTGTTATTTTTCTTTTTCTTACAAAGCTTCACTATATAGTTCAGGCTAGCCTTGAAGTCACTGTATAGCCCAGGCTGGCCTCAAACTCTTGAATTGATGTCCTCCTGCCTCAGCCTCCTGAGTGCTGGGATTACAGATGCGTGCCACCACGGCTGGCTCAGCGGCCCTGTGGAAGTAGATTGTTTGTGCCTCCTGGCTTCTGCATTATTGCCGAACACTGTTTTTGTTGGAGAGCCACTGTGGCACCATTTGTCAAGTTGGAAATGGGCCACTAGTGTTCAGCAGCTCCCTGGGAAGTGGTCACTGGGACCCAGTGGACTTTGCCCAGGAAAGCCAGTGTGTGATGGGCACCTGGCAGGCTGGGAAGCCCACTAAGCTCAACCCAGTGCTGCTGTTGGGGCCATGTCCCGTGCCTCTTCCTGTGTGAACACCTCCTTCTCCTCTTTATTCTTTTTTAGTCCTTGACCTTGCTCCTTTTGTTCTTTCCAGTGACACTACAGCATCTGTGAAACATGAATAGACTCTGAGGTTGACCTGACATCCTCTCCTTCCATGTGCAGGCGTTCTGAGGATAGATGTGTCTGTAGGGTTGGGTGGCCTCAGGCCCTTTCATGCCCTGTAGGGTTCCAGGCTGGTGTTTTGGCGAGGATGCTGCTGTCATTTGGGGCTGGGGAGGTGCTTATTCTGAGATCCACAGTGTCCCTGGCTCTGCTGTCTGTCAGGCCCCCCATCCCCATTCCTACATGCACCTGGGGATGGCAGTTCCCCACATTGGCCATTGGGATGGGCACCTCGGGGCAGGTATCCTCCCTGTGTGGGGCATGGGCAGCGTGTGTACATTTGGAGCCTGCAGGTTGGCAGTTAAGAGCTCAGAGAAGGCATTTTGAGGGTGCTGCATCCGTATGATGAGAGAAAGCAGGCTGCTTACTCTCTGCAGTTGCTTCAGTGGTTCAGGCGAAGGCACTGGGTATAAACAAAAACACGTAGCGTTGTATTTACTGGACTTACTTGAAAACAGTATGTTAGAAGTAGGGGGTACTTTTCACCCTGTTAGCTAGCCTGTGTTTCTGTAAGTACCCAACTAAATTTAGGAAATTTTGGCAGCAGGGTATGGAAAAAAGTGGAGATTTTGTTTAGATAAGAGTAGATTTTTTTTAAAATTTTAACCTTTGTTTCTTTGTTTTCTCTTGCTACCCTGTGTTTTCTTTGGCCTGATGGGGATAAACCCTTGTGTGCCAGGCAAGAGCCCTACCACTGAGCTACATCCCTGCGCCAGCAGAATTTGCAGTAAATCCCTATAAACATGTAGGTGTTCACTTCCAGTATATCAAAGTTTTGGCCATTTTTTTTCCTGCTTTAACTGAGTAATTGTTCTTATTAAACACTTGCTGCATTTAATAGTCTAATTAGACCTGGAGCCCTTATGTCCTGACCCTGAAGAACTATGATTACAGCCTCACCCTTGACGCAGAACACAGTCTCCCAGGACTGTGGCCCGCAGTGTAAAACATAAGATGGAGAAACAGTCATGGTGCTGTGAAGTATTACAGTTTTCCTTTTTTTTTTTTTTTTCTACTACAGAACCTGAAAGCAGACCCAGAGGAGCTTTTTACAAAACTTGAGAAGATTGGAAAGGGCTCTTTCGGCGAGGTGTTCAAAGGCATTGACAATCGGACTCAGAAGGTGGTTGCCATAAAAATCATCGATCTGGAAGAAGCTGAGGATGAGATAGAAGACATTCAACAAGAAATCACAGTGCTGAGTCAGTGTGACAGCCCATACGTAACCAAATACTATGGATCCTATCTGAAGGTAAAGCATAAAAATAACGCCCTTTTCCATTATGCAGCACTTAGCTGAACTGCTGGTGGGGTTGTGGGCTCCAGCAGCATAGCAGGTTTGCGGAGGAAGGAGAGATGTTTCGACCTTTGAGATCAAAAGAGCCTGGCTTTGATCATTTTATCATCTTAAATGGCAGCTTAGAAGTATATTTTTGGTAAAAGAGTTTGATGTAGGCATTCTCTTTCAAACAAAGTATTTTTGAGTGGGATTTTGGCATCAGAAGTATACTTTAGTATACTTTATATTATATATTATAACAATAACCATTAACCACCTAATTTTAAGATGGCACATGGGTAGTAATACTCATGCCAACCTAAGAGAAAGAATCTCTTGATATTTTTAGTCATCACTTGAGGGTTTTTTCCCCCATAATTTTATTGAGAAACAAATAGCAATGAGACAGTTTCAAACCAAATTGGTAGGACAGTATCAATAATTAACACATTCCAGTAGAAAAGTATAAAGTCGAAATATAAGAAATAAAGCCATGCTGTTAAGTTGAGCTGTGGGGGACTCAGGTCAATAATTTCTGACATTGCCAGTTAAACAGAAGACCCAATGC